TGGACCATTTATTGTTTTTGTTAGGATTATTATTTTTCTTCCCTAAAGCTGAATGTGCAGCCTAAACCGTAAGAGCTAGACCAACCAGACTTGGCAGGAAGATGTGCATTCCTACCCACTACTCAGACTATCCGACCCAAGTCTGTCAGTCAGATGGGGGCACTGTAGCGCCCCCACTCATATGTTTCAGCCGATATCTCCTGACCTATTAGTCCTATAGTCAAAATATTTTCTACAGCCTTGCCCCACCAATTTGCCATTTGAACTATTAAGCTCCGCCTACTTAGATATTTTGCTAATTTGCTAATCCTACTTTTGCCTACAAATCCTACCTCATCAGACCAAATCAGACAAATGAGGTGTCAGTCCAATCAGACCGCAGAGCTGATCAAGACATATTAAAGAAAGTCTGACATTTGTCTATCCCACAGCCATTAGCCACGCCCAAACCATACCCAAATTAAGCCTGTTTTGATCAGACTGCTATAACTTGGCCTTGCCTTGGCCTGGCTTAACCAAATTTGAAATCCATTCAAACATTCAGTCGGGCTCAGACACTCCACCAGACGGTTCTAGATTTTGTCCTACATCTGCTGACCTGTCAGACCTACACTCAGAAATCTCCATCCTGTTACAGGACTATGTAGTTCTGTCTGACTTTATAGTACCCTGGTCACCAGTAACAGTCAGTCCTCCAGTTCTCCAGCATTACTGCTCTACTGTTTGTCCGACCTGAACGATCTTCCTACACTTTGGACCCTTCAGTCACTGCCTGCAGTTACAAGTTTTTCTTATTTTTTGGATAGGCATTTTTTGCAGTAGTCACCACTTGATCTTGCTTTGCTGAACTTCCCAGTGGATCTCGCATTAATGGCGACAGATATAAATGTATGTTTAAATGGTAACGTCACCACCATGAATTTGGCCCCACATTTGCTTCCAATTTGAACTAAACCGGTCACAGTGGTTTGTACCACGTCTGTACCATTGAAATTTTCATTTGTGCTGCTTTAGGTTCTGACATATAAATGTATTTTGTTGTACATGGTGACATCACCATCATATGTCCAAACCAGTCTAGATTGCTTGTGCCTTGTAAAAATATTTGAGTTATTATTATTTGTGAGTTAGATAGGATTTGGTCACCTGGCCAGTACACCTACAGGAACTTTTATGACATGCCATTCTAAATCCAAAGGCATCAATACAGAGTTGGTCCTCCATCTACAGCAAAAACAGCTGCCACAAGATTTTGCAGTGGGTGTTGGAATTCTTGCCCATTCAACCAGAAGAGCATTTGTGAGGTCAGGTACTGATGCTAGATGTGAAGGCCTGGCTCACATCATCCCTAAGGTATTTGATGGGGCTGAGGCTGGAAGCATAGAATTGTCCAAAATGTGGAGTGGATTTAGGAGACAGTGCAACACTAAACACAGCGCATTATCCTTGTGCATAAATATATGTTACAATTCTAATGCTACGGTCGTGTCCATAACAAAAAATAAATAAAATAATCAGGCCTAATAAACTATAGAGATGAGACCACAGGGAAGCCAAGAAGAACCAGACAAACTGAACAAGGTTACCATGAGAGCGGGGAAGCCAGAAATGAGACAAAATGAGGACAAGAGTGAAAGGGGAGAGCAGGGGCCATGGGAAAAGAGGTACAGACAAACTGCACACCCGAAACCAGAACACAAACCATGCAAACATCAAAGGCCAGTGGGTAAGCACAAGGGGCCAAAATGGAGGACCTATACAGAGTGGCACACAGGCAGGGAACCAGGACGGAGAGCACTAAGTAACATCAACTGGGACAAGGAACGAAGACAAGGACGGATACCAAGGGCACAGACTAGGGTAACACTGGGACACAAAGTGGCATCTGCAAATGCAGCCAAGCAGGACAGGTGGTTGTGAAGGACTCCAGGGTCACCCCTGGAACCTCGTGGACCTGGGTGACGTACAGGGAGTGCTGGTCGCTGGTGTTCCCATTGGTCAAGATGAATCAGGATCAGGGTGAACAGGGAGAAACATGGGGGCCGAGGAGGCTGCAGTTTGGGCCCACCCAGCAGCTGATGGCGGACTAGAGAATGAGAGAGAGCCAGACAGGCAAACATGACCCTGATGTCCCTTTTGTGACACAAAGAGCTGTCCATATCCCCTCCCGTTGCCCACAGAGTTTCAGAATGTTCCTGAACCAGGGAACATGAGGTGGGTGTGAGGCCCTGTGTCCAGACCAAAGAGGGTACCCACCAAAACTTAGATCAGGACCAAAAGAGATGCCCTGGGGGTCCCATTCCATGTTCTCAGGTGGGTCCTCCTTAGAACTCTCTCCCTCTAGACCCACCGAGATTTCCAGCACAGGGGACTCAATCGGGGAGTCAGGCTCCAGAGAGAGCAACCATTGGTGGCAAAGCAGGCAAGAACACCAGGAGACAAGTGGGGGTGGCAGTGAGACACCAGGAGGCGCCAGTGAAACTGCGGTGAGACTGCCAGAAGGGAGCATCTTGGCGAGGAGGTTGCCGATGAGACGGCAACAGGTGAAAAGCACCCTAGTGATAAGTACCCTGGCGAGACTGCAACTGCAAAACATCTCGGAAAGGCCACACACAAGGCAATATCAAGCTCACTAAGGGGGTTCCAGAGAGGACGAGGTCTGGAAGGGGGCTGCTGCCGGGACCTTAGGGACCAGAGTAGCGGACTCTGAAGGCACTGCAGAGGCAGAGACAGGCTCTGGAGATGCACCAGAGGCAAAGATGGGTTATGGAGGTACTGCCAGCTTGGTGGTCTCGCCTGGCCAGGGCTCAGGAGTTGCGGCCATCTCCCCTCCCAGTTTCTTCCATTTTCCCCTCCTTTGATCGCTGAGCTGCGGTGTGCTATGGAGAGCTAGTGGGCTGAACTGCAGCAAGCTGCAGAGAGTCAGAAGGCTGAGAAATGAAGTGCTGCTAGACGGCTGTGGGCAGAGTGGCTTCATGCTGTGGGGATGCAGGGGGCTGAGTGGCTGACGGGCAGGAACAGGACTGATACAGACAGGTGTGATGGGGCATGACATGAGGGCTGGGAATAACGTGATTACAAGATGACCAGTGACCTCTGCTGGCTAAACGGGGACAAGACGCAGCTGGATCATGAGAATTATAAAATAGATTTTAACTTGGCCAAATTTGTTAGAACACCTGACAGATCAGAAAATATTGACCTTTTTTGCCTCCAAAACATGATGTCATTTCATAATGTTCATGCAATACGCAGATAGTTGCGCTGAGCACAACAAATATCAGATGAAGTGAGTCATACTGTTTTTACCCACTTTTAACTGTAATATTTAATATTAAATTAAATATCAACCATTTGCAGAAATTACAACAGCACATGTTTCTGACATAGTGTTAATGTATTTCCTGAGAACTTCAACACTAATGTTATCCCATGCATTCTGCAACTCAAGCCAAAGGCTTTCCTTTGAATGTACAATAGATCTGTTCAGTTTACTTTCCAACTCGCCCCAAATTTGCTCAACGGGGTTGAGTTCCGGACTTTAAGGGGGCCTGTCATTCATTTTCAATGTTCCAGCTTGAGTCACAGGTTGTTCCGGCAATAGTTGTAAGAATGTTTAGGGTCATTGTCTTCTTGGAAAATACATCCAGGTCCAATAAGATGACTCCCAGATAGTGCTCTGTGCCTCACCAGAATGTTGTGGTATACTTTCTCATCCATCATGCTAGCAATTTTCACGAAGTTACCTGTTACTGAGGCTGCAGTGGCATCCCACACCATAATACTACCCTCTCCATGTTTCACTGTTGGCAAGAGACACTCCTTTTTATCTCTCCCCCTCCTTCCGTCAAATTGTTCAAACTTCCTTTGTCCATTTCTTGTGTTCTTTTGTAAATTTCAGGCATTTCACTCTATTTTTCTCTCTCAGTAATGGTTTCTTTGTTGCTATTCTGCCAATAAGTCCTTCTTCTCCCGGTCTCTGATGCACAGTTCTTGAAGATACTGTTGCACCATTTGTCGTTGTGGTGTTGATTTTATCACACAGTTCTCGTCAGGTCTTTCTTCGGTCCTTAAGACTGANATGAATTATATCCATAATTTATTTTCTGAATTAGGCTGTTAGCCATGTTAGAGTATAATCATCACATTCAAACCTCCAATTATTCTCAAACTGGAGCAGAAATTCATGATTAAATCCTTTTCCACAGGTTTGTGATTCTTAACGGTTCTCCAGACTTAAAACATGCTCATTAAAATATGAGATTTTTCATATTCTCATATATGGTTTGAAAATAGTTATACTACATGATACACAGAGCTCTTTAATTGTATTTACCCAGTCATATAATATTATGTACAATTAATAAAAAGCACAGCTATTATAGCATTTTTTTCCAGAGGCATGGTCTCTGTATGCCCTAAATGATTATTGTTTTATTATTAATATTTAATAATTACACACTGCATGACATCAGCATTCAGAGCTCAGTTTCACCAAATAGCTTTGATGCAGATTCAACATGCTCAACTGGCCAAAACAAGGAGTGACCATGTCTGATCAGGCCACACATGCCGGACAGTAACCGACTCCATCTAACAGCCTGACAACTTTAGACAGCCGAAAATTAGCTTGGTGTGTTCTAGGCTTTACACCAGGGGTAGCCAATCTTATCCGCAAAGGGCCAGTGTGTATGTGGGTTTTCGCTGCAATTCCCTAATTAGATTACTAATTAGAGGACTGATTGGCTGGAGTCCTCACACCTGGGTTTGAACAGCTGATCTACAGGTTATCCCAAAAACCTGCATACACACCGGCCGTTTGCGGATAAGATTGGCTACCCCTGCTTTACACTGAGCTGACTAAACACAGTTAGACTATGGTACATCTATAAGGCTCAGTGTACAGCGGAACCACTGACCTTCAGGAGAATGAAAATTAGATTTAATCACCCAAAACTATGCTGGGATGCATGTTAAAACCAGTCCTTCCAGTGACTCACCCAGTGCTGCTATCCTGGCAGTTGTACTGGCAGAATCAGTATCTGAGTGGACTTCACACCTGAACTCTCCTTTGTCTTCAGTCCTGACTTTCCTCAGTTTCATTGAGAAGTTTCCTTTGGGAATTTCCTCAGTGAAGAATTCAGCTCTTCTAGAGTATCTCTCATCCTGTGACTCCGGTCTGTTCTCTCCATCAGCATACAGAAGCACCAAGATGTCACCGTCATCGTCTGTCTTTCTCCATTCCACCTGAAGCTCTGTCACATTAACATGGGTGTCCACAGAGCAGCTGAGAGTCACATCCTCTCCAGCATGTGCATAGACAGGCTCATCTACACCCGTCACCACCAGCCGCTCTGGAACAAGAACAGGAAGATTCACACAACCTGGCTACCTTACATTTGTGTGTTTTCCCCTCCTGTTTAGGGATGAAACCCAGATAGTTTTTGCTGTTTCCATTTAAACATTTAGTTTATCGGATTTAAAATTTTGCCATTAGGAACCTGGAAGATGAAAGGTTTTTGTGACTTTTGTTTGAAAATTACATATAAGAAATAACTCCAAATGTAATTAGACTAAATTCCACATACACCAATGGAATAATCAACTCCAAAAATAAGTAATGATAATACCTATAGCCATAAAACAGAAAGTCTCACTTGCCTGCTTCCTGTATTTCCACCCGTGTTTCACGTTGCTCCTGCTCTGTATAAACCACACACTTGTACACTCCTGCATCTGCAGTCCTCACACCATCAAGCAGCAGAGAGAAGTTGCCTTTGGGGATTTCCTGAGATAAGAAGTGGGCTCTGCCCCTGTAGGCGTCCCCCTGTGATTCAGGTCTGCTCTGACCATCCTGGAATAGGTGCACGATGGTGTCTGAATCAGTCCTTCTCCAGTCCACCTCCAGCTCCTCCAAAGGCAGGGGTCTGTCCACAAAGCAGGGTAGCAGTACAGCTCCTCCCAGCCGGGCTGTTAGAGGACCAGCAGAGCCGTGTAGCAGGAAACCTACCACAGGGATAAGAGACATAAAATCATGACCTAGAGCATTAAAAAACAAGCACATTTCATTATTTACAAATATGTTACTTGAATATTTGGTAAACAAATACTTCTATATGAACAGGGCTGCATATATAACTGGTCCGCAAGTACGCATTCACCTTTAAAAGCGATACGTGCAGCAAGCGATTGCTGTGACAGTGCAAATACGTACGTATTTTATGTGCATTTCTGCTGATAAGACAAGAAATTACAGTGCATTTTAACCTCTATACAGCAAGTACAAATTAGCACATACAGGTTAAAATGAACGATAATTTCTTGTCATATCAGCGCAAATGCACATAAAATACGTACGTATTTGCACTGTCACAGCAATCGATTGCTGCACGTAGACCTATCGCTTTTAAAGATGAATGCGTACTTGCGTACCAGTTATATGCAGCCCTGTGTATGAACTAGTACACCAAAAAAAAGACAATCACAGTCATATACATACATATACGAATCACCAGACAGAAAACGTTGGTATTATTTTTAAACTAGGCAATATATAGCCTACAGTACATACCATCACAGCTAATGACGAACAAGATCAAAAGGACTCTGAGACTTTCGTCCTTCATCATCGTCTTTCTTTCATACTTTCATTTTCATTTTATGTTTCATGCTGAGACAGAAAAGCCGAGTCATACTGTCATCCGAAATCTTTTCCACCATACAAATTCCTTATTCTGGTACCGCGCAGATCATCTGTCTGGCCGATGATGCGATCGTGATGAAGCAATCGTACGTTTCAGGAGTCCCTGACTGCGGTGAAATAAGTCAGTTTTGGATATTCGACATCTGATCGGATCCACACCCTCCAGATGCCGCAGCCTTGTTTTATTCCCGCTATACGTCATAAGCAGTCGAAAGACGGCCAGTTCAGGTCCACATCTCCGCAGACCACCACTTACCGCTGATTTAGGGACCGACGGCATACTGTATTACTGCCCGAGTGGCTTCTTTCAGTGGCTTCTAGGCTACGGGATCCAGTGACTCCAGGTGCAAATTGTGATATTACCGTAGACAAACAGGAGACAGCTTAATATTTATTTTTCTTGCGTTAAGTATTTTATATGAATATTTATTGGAAATGTTTTTTTTTCTTTTTTCTTTGTAATGATACTAATGATCACACAGGGCAGAGCAATATTTATTAATATTTATTGCTTTATGTTTTTATATAAATATCTATTCTAAAAATTCAATGTTAATAAAAGCCACTATACAACACCTCTAACAAATCCTAGGAAAGCTATTTTGAAACTATAGTTTGTCATGTTTAGTTGAAACTGAAATTTTTAAGCAAGTGTACACATTTTTTTTCCTTCTTTTTTTTCTGGCGAGCTTTTAATATAAACTACTCTGAAATAATGTGTCATTGTCTCGTGGTGTAATTTTCTGCACTTTCTTATACAAAAAGTACTGTTACAAGAATTACTTAACACATTTTCAGCTATTTGTTTCAGATGAGACCGTAAGACAGTATAACTGTAATTCCACATATGTATTGAAAATGTGAACCATATTTGTAATTCGACAGCATATTTTAACAAAATACTTGTTACATGCATAAAGGACACTTCCAGCTTCCTTTCCTTGCTTCTTTGAATTGTAGTTTTTTCATTGCCAGACACTGAATGGACATGAAACCATCTGTCACAGTCATCACAACTGTGATATGATACACAGAGACACACACAGACACACACACATGTGTACGCACACACATGTACATACACACGCGCACACACACATGTCAGGATGGGATCCCCCTTATGGGGCCCATTCATTCACTTCTATGGGAAAAATGCTAACGCTAACTATGACAACCTTAACCCCCCACCCTGCCCTAACCATAACCATAAGTAACCTAACAAAATACAAGAGTTTTTGCATTTTTAGTTTTTTCATAGCAGTAACTGATTTTTATAAAATAGAGTTTTCCCTTATGGGGACCAGGAAACCGGTCCACATAAGGGAATAAAATGCAGCCCACTCAAAGGGGGAGCCCATCCTTCAGGGGCCGGCAGAGGAAGCCCTAACCCTAACCAGACCCAAAGGGGGGGGCCCATCATCCTGCGGCTGGCAGGGAAAGTCAAAGTCCCAATTCACATTTTCCCAGTCTTCACATTTGAGATGCAAGCAGAGGGCAGGGAGTTGTTGACAGGCAAGTACTGGAGCTGCTTCATATGACAGGGCAAACAGTAGTATGACAGCAGGGCATACAGGGAAGACGTCACAGGCAGAAGGGCAAGCAGGCAGGATATCTTGAAAATTTGGGGTCTCCAGGTAGCACCCCCAGGAGGAGTAGGGGAAATAAAATGTGCAATTAGTAAAAGTAGGGGAGACTATAGGCAGTGCTAACAGTTTGGTGAATGCAATATGTAAATTCTGGCAGATATGGTTATGACAGCATAAGTAGGAGGCAGAGGCAAGTGGGAACGCAGGCATGGGGAGTCCCTGAAATGTCAGCACTCCTATTCCACAAGGGAGTGTGAAGCTAGAGTGACAGCACTGACAGTTCAGTTCATCCAAAGCCAATGGCACCGATCCCCACCCAGCTCTACACCTCACACTATAGGTCTAACTGGGAGTGAGCAGTTAGCTAGAGCTAGAATTAGAGTCCCTATACTAAACAGGTGTGTTTTCAGCCTAGACTTTAATATTGAGAGTGAACCTGAATCCCAGAAATCCCGTGGAAGACCATTCCACAGCTGAGGAGCTATATAGGCGAATGCTCTACATGAAGTACTGCTCTCACCTCAGAGCTGTCATGCAGTTCAGTGAGCTCAAACTGTACTTCTGTGTGGTCTTCTTCAGGGGCACATTTGAGTAGATGTTGGAGTGCACTGAACACATTTTTTTTGGTTTCTGAAGTCCGAGAATCGCCAGTCAAATTCTTCCTGCAGTTTTTCCATGATGTTGTTTTTGTGTGAGTGCAGTTGATACAAACATTGTCATGCTCACCCATGACCACGCTGAACGTTGGGAAATGGGTTAGATCCACTTCCTTCAGCTGTCCCTGTTTTTGCTGGAAAGCCTTGATTCTGTCGTACTGATTTTCCCGAGTTCAAAGTGTCCCTGGATCAACAAACGAGGCGCTTGTATCACATTTCTTTGACCAATCAGTCTTCATTATGACATCACTGCCTTAACTCTTAGGACCTGATAAATGCAAAATGTGTTGGTTTTCGCATCCATTAATCTTACGCTCATAAGTTTGAATAGGTATAATGTACAGACTAGAATCACATACCTTTGGAATCAACAGAACTTACCCAATCTGGTTGTCCAAGTTGCAACATTGTGTGCTAAAGTAATCCTCATATGCGTAATGAGGCATATATTTTTAACATTTTCCACCAACATGCATCCCGTTAAAATGCATATTCTGCAATGATCCACACACAACCAGCTATCATCATAACAGTAAATATAAACAAAACAAATGTATGTTACTCCTAAAAGTGTTTGTTTTGAGCTTATATTAGGATCAGGGAGTAGCTAAAGAAAGCCAGACTTTCCAGAAAAAGTCAGACTCAAACTAGCACCATCTCTAAACTTAGCCTCATGTCTTTCCACTATCACAGTTCAGCTTTAACTAATCAAGGCTCATACAAGACTTGCATAGTGTCACTTAGTGTGCACACCCAAGATATTTAAGAAGCCCAGATGAATGATAGATTGATGGAATGAGTCAGAAAGTATGTAAAATGAGAGCAGTGTTTTTTTTTCCGTCGCAGAACAAATGCTGCTGATGGAGCTGTATGAAGAATACAAAGATGTAATCGCTAAAGAAGGCAATACTGTGGCCATAAACACAGCCAGGGAGTTGGCTTGGCAAGAAATTGCAGACAGACTAAATGCGTAAGTTATGTAAATGTTACAAAGGCCTAGTATGGTGGTACAGTGGTTCATGTGGTTGCCTTACAGCGCAAAAGTTCCTGGTTCAATCCCATAATAATAACGAAATCTTCCTGTTCAAATAACTTAACAGATTTTTTTTTTTTCAATTTCAGTCATTGTGTTTCATGTTTGACCTTTGTAATTTGAGAACGCTTTTATTTTTTATTTTTTGGAATTATTTGGAATGCTGAGACATGATTTTTATAGGCTTTATTATATTTATTACATGACATGAGTAGTGAGAGTGCAGAATTTCGTCTCTAGGATCACACAACAGGGCTGAGACTCCAGGTTGCCTGAGAGAAGGCTTAGCCTGGTACGAGAGGTACACATTGGCCTAGGCACCACAGAGGGGTTAATGACCCCACACACACAAACACACTTAAACAAACACACACACACACACACACACACACACACACACACACANGGGGGGGGGGGACTTACGGATAACTTATATTCACTTGGGCTGCCATAAAGCCTATTATATTAAAAGTCAGAGTTAAATACAATAGTAATAAAGAATGCATCCACTAATTTGTGACGTTCATGAAAACATTGTGCGGCTTCAGTGGTTCATTAGCTTGAAGTACAGTACGGTAACGTATACACTTAGATACTGATTTATTATTATTATTATTGTTATTATTATTATTATTATTATTGTTATTATTATTCAAGATTCAAGAGATATATTTCTCACTTGTACATGCACAGACAGTATGACTGCATAGAATTTTTTTGTGCAAAGTTCTTAGAGTCAGCAGTAGGAAAGAGAAATCATTGAAGTCAAGATAAGTAATAAGGATACAGGATAAACAGTAAAAAGATGCTTTAAAATGCAATAAATACCCACAAACACCTCAAGGTACAGACATTAGTAATAATATAACACTGACTATTAGGATACACACTGTAAAATGGAAAACACTGTAAAAACTATAAAAAATAGCACTATAAAAACTAAGAATATTGTCCATCTGAGAATATTGCATCTTAATGCCACTGTAAAACAATGTAAACCACACTGTGGAACAACACTGTAAACCAACAACAATGCTTTCATTTAAGATATATTGCACTCCTGAGGTTGTCCTTGGTACCAGTCTGACTGTGGCTGAAAAGATGCTGTTATACAAACATGCTTTGTGTGTGATGATACTGTCCGGCCTGCAGTGTCTCAGGTTATATGCTGAGTGTTTATGCCTGAGCAAAGAGTGTGCTGGGTGCTGTGGGTCCATGAGGATGCACTGGGCTCTGTGTTGTTTTCCTGCAGCGTCGTGTGTAGAGAGTGTCCATGGAAGGGAGGTCAGTTCTGTGATCCTCTCTGCAGCCATTATGACTGTTGCTGTTGTTGTTCTTGTTCCTGTTGTTGTGTAATGTATTATTATTTTTCTGACTTAAATGAAGCCTTAGGGAATGGATCACATTCATAACCTGGGGACTGTCTGTAACTGACAGTATTTAAAGGATGTTTATCAACCTTAAAGACAAATAAAAATTTAAAGAAACACTAAAGCAGCTCTTCACGGTTTTATTAACTCCATCAGTGTTCCCAGGTATATTTGGTCCAGATAACTGTATACTTCTTATACCCATTATATTGCAGTAAATAGTTTTTGGGTTGGCTAATCTTATTCTAAAGGGTATGTTAAGTGAGATCCACCTGTCTGCCAAAGAGAAAAAAGCCAAGAATGTTTCTATTAGCCTGTTCACCAGCAGGGGGCACTCACGGTGAACTGTCCCATCTTACATACAATAAAATTAAAAACTTTTTTTTTATTTCTCCACTAACACTCTATTACAGCTTTGATTGAAATACATTAATGCACAAAACCTTCAACAAATTCTTGTTTTTCTTGATGCCTATTTATAGACATTATTCACACATACCAACTTCTATTAGTGAAATTCCTGATC